CAGACAGTGACGGATGGAGACAGGGACAATATTCATGGCTTGTTGAATATGTAAAAGAGCCATAGATACTCAGTGAGTCACTTGGTTGAAGTCCTTGGCAGAAAGATGTGAGTGCACTGTGGAGGAACAGCAAAGACGCAAAGAGGCTGTGACAATGAAGGAAAGGCGTCGTACAGTGGAGGAACACAGGGTCACTGCCTACGTAGGTGGGTGGTGAAATGGAGAGCTAGACTTCCAAGAACATACGATTAACAACGATATGGTCACTTTTTTAAAGATTTTTTCAATCACGTTCATCATGTTCTATAGAAGTGTTTCCTGACCTTTTTTAAGTCACAGCACATATTTTATAACCAAATAAGAAAAGTTCCTAAATGTATATGTGTTAAAATACACTGACCTTTTGGTTTCAGTTTCATTTGTCAGTATTAAACCCTGTCTTGTTTAGCTGCACACAACTCTGATATATTGGCAGGACTTAAAGAGACTCACAGTAGGTCTTCAACGGCTTTGTTTCTCTTTCTCTTTTTGCTATCTGCTGCCACCTAAAGGAAGAGTATTGAAATATTCTGCCAAATGTTTTTTAGAGTTAATTAAAAAAAAGTTTTCAGATGAATAAGGTGAAAGTGGGACAAATACTTAAAGCCCATTACTGTGCAAACATTTGTCAAAAGGACAAACCGTAACACTTTAATTTCTACACAAATCATTTGCAATGTTATTGACTGAAAGTGTTCAACATGGTAACTCATGCCTTTCCACACTGAATAAAAATGTTTTTAAAGGAAATTATTATTATTATTATTATTATTATTATTATTATGTGTATTATTATAATTATTTTCATTCAATCATATTTATTCAAAAGAAAACGTATTCTTCTTTTATCAGTGCTCAGAAACACACGCTGAGTCAGACGTCAGATGATGTATCAACAGAGATTAATAAAGCATCAACGATCACCTCATCACGGCAGCAAGTTTGGATAAGTCACAAATAAAAACAGGTATAAAACCCTGACCTGCTGTCATCCATGATAATTATCAATTGTGATCAATCATGTTAAATCCACAAAGTGTTCGACAGCTCTACTTATTTTTTAATTAAAGTGACTTTACTGTGAAGTACCTGAACAGCAATCAGTGATAGTGAACCCCACTCCTCAAGGGGATAAGGTGAGATATTGTGATGTAGACACAGGGCAGGAAGAGAGCCGTCGCTAACCTTTGAGGACTCTTGCAGCTTCTGACTCACATCTTGAATGTTTCTAATAAAAACCAAGCAGAGTTTAGCCATGCCGTGTAGGTAGTACAGAAGGTGACATATGTGACACCTCGCAGTAAAACAAACAAAAAAAACCCTGTTTATGAAATAAGTTTTTTATCCTAATCATCCCAATCATCCATTTTCCTAGTCCCATAATCACAGCCCACCGCTTTATACACATTAATATAGCCTATGTTAACTTGTGATTTATCCAGGGTTACACTCTCTAGGTCGTTTTCACAGGAACTGTTGATGCCTGTCATCCATCATCCACCGGTCAAGATGAATGAGACGATTTGACACGTGGAGATGAAACTGATCTGTGTAGGATGATTGATGTCGCTTCAAAGAACATTGCAGGAAGCTAGATATCAGATATCAGTAGCTGCAGTTATAGTGAAGAATGTACTTGTTTAAGTTGTCTACCAGGAAACCAGAGTTGCTGCAAAACATCAGCGTGAGACAGCAGGAGTGGCAGTGGGAGAAACACTGGAATATCCACCACAGAACAGGTATTTGAAACTCAGTCTGGATGCCTGACAGCATGTACAGCTGCAGTCAATATACAGTACATATTTGGTGGTGGTTGAAGTCACTGATGAACATGACTAATTACCAGACCTTTAGAAACTAGGTAATGGAAGTAACTACATTAAGAAATCCCTGTTATTCACCCAGTCTGTACTTCCGTCCTCTTCTTTTTGGCAAAAATAAAAGTTGGGAGGCTTTTAAATTAAAGGATTATCGCCTTAAGTGCATTGTCACAATAATGGCTCTATTTGATTTACAGGTTTTCTGGAGATGGGGTTTGTATTGTTGACTAAATATATATTAAATATAAACATTAGGATAAAATAAGAAAAATGTGTAATGTTTGCAAAGCTGAAGCATTTTTTATTTATATAATTAACCATAAATAATTCAAATTAAGTTGTGAAATTCCAAACTACCCAACAAATTCTTATTTCAATGTGGACTCACACTTTGTGATCATTAGTCACATTTAATGCATTTATTAACTCAACTCAATTAATTATGATTTATTAGGCTCACAATGAATCATAATCAATTCTGTACTACTATTTTACTATTTTAATACACTGACAGTCCTAATAATCACTAATGCAGATCTCTTGTCCGGCCAAACACATTTTGACCAAAATGCTATTGAGTGTGTGCGGCCCACTGACCCACCCACCAATATACACTCAGCCCAGCCCAGCTTAGCCAGAGCACAGCCGTGGTAAATAGAGCAGTGTGTGATTATGTCGGAGGTTGTCCAACTCCTGTTGTAAAACCTGTGGTTGTTTTGTGTGTGAGTGTGCGTGTGTGTGTGTATGTGGTTTGTATTCAAGGCACACGGGAGAGATATCATCAGTCGCAACAGTGAGGGTGAGGCCACAGACAGGGCTGAGAGTCAAGGCTGCCAGTCTGCCCCGCAGTGTGATGGAATGCATTCATTCTCATGCTGGCTGTATAAAAATGTCAGATGTTTACTGATATATAACACACATCATGTTATTTTTCGTCTAGGTTTGTTTGTTTTTTCTTAGCCTTTTTTTTTTAGCCTTTTCTTATACGACAGCCATTTTAGTCACTCCAATCTGTGAGGAGAGTCACACAAACTGTTCATTTACATCTGAATACCAAATTAAAACACTCTCATTGAAAGTCCCTTTGCAAAGACTCACCTGAAAATGCAATTTCATTTTCTCCTGTTGATAAACTGACAGTCTAAGGAGCAGAGGCACTTACATGTTTGGTATTAATCTGTCACGTGGTCTGAATTTTTTTTTCTTTCAAACAGAGCACGAATGGATTCAATTGTCTGTTTCCAGGAACACTGACAGATTAACCTCTGCTTATATTTAATGTCAGACATTTATAATGTTGTCAGACATTTTATCAAGAGCAGCATGCTTAATCACTATACAGGCCAATCACTGTACCTTCCATATTCACATGAAAATGTCCATGGCAACCACTGCACTTTGGTGCCGCTACAGGAACATTCCCCTGACTCGATTATACTGTAGTATATTAAATCATGTAGTAACGACTCTATTCAAGTGGCTGTCGTTCCAGAACATACGACCCACAGCAGTAGTGGGAGATTCCCCCGGGGGAAGTTAATCCCTGTCTTGTCTGGATTGTCAGGTTAGACTGAGATTGTGATCTCAAACCAAACTTGGAATAACTTTTGGAAACAAACTTATTTGTACCTAACACTCACTGCCTTAACATAGAAGCTGCCTTGTTGTTGCGTGTCAGAAGAATCACAGTCAACAGCAGTTGTAGGAAAGTTTTGAGATAAGATTGAGATAAGATTTGGGAACGAAAACAATTACAGAGAGTAGAAGAAGTGTGAGGTAGATCGGTCATTCATTTTTTTTTACCTGTAATTAATTTAAGAGTCAAACCTAAGGAGTTTCCATTTGCTCTAACTGGTGATCTACCAGGGGTAAAGAAAGGACTCTAACAACTGCCATAATTAACATGCAGTGATCAACTGTCATTTATATTGTTTCATTTCATCACTTGCCAGTGACCAATACCTATACTGTGGTACTTTAGCACTGATGTTAAAGTAAGAGACGTAATAAGAATTACACTGTGTGAGGTTTTATCAGGATAGATCACAACCTGAATATAGATTTTTGAGAAGCATACAAATTACATATAGGCCATCATCATCATCATCATCATCATCATCATCATCATCATCAAACTGATGAAGATTCTTTGGGCATTTTAAAGGTAACTCAACTTCATCACTGTGAAGGTGCTCAAAGCCCAAACACCGTATGCCACTTATCCTAAAGCTGCCAGATCCTAATCCAGTTTTGTATATGGTAATTTTCTGGGGTTCTTCTTATAAAGCTGCCAGATGCACAGCAGTGTCCTTGCTGAAGAATTTAAAGCTGCCACAAGCTCTGTCAGGTTTGTTGAGGCTGTATTTCGATAAGATGAAATCAGCCAAACTCCTCCAGACAGTGAGGTGAGACATGAACAGAATTTACAACAAGAGACCTGCTCACATAAACGAGATAAAATAATAACAATGCACGTCTATGCCTCTAGTGTAATCCTGGTGATATAAGGGCCCAAGGCACTAATAACAGAGAGTTGTGAAAAGCAAATTAAAAAAATAAAAATAATAATAATATAAAATAGAACAGCCGTAAAGTGTGAGGCTCACAAATAAAATCTCAAGCCCAGCATCACGTAATAGACTAAAGACTTTTACAATATTTCTGTCAATTTTCGGGTGAGGCAGCATTTTATGAGTGTTTCCTCAACTCTGCAACATTTAGAGGCAAGTTCTTGGTTTGGTTCAAATGTCAAATCATCCCTTAAGTGTTGTTTTTTTGTTTCACCTTCTGCCCTAAAATTTCACTTGCACTGGCAGAAGAAAAATGTCAAGAAATGCTTCAAACTGTCACCATTATGTCATTACATAGTAAACGGCCACGGTGCACCTTTTTAGAGCGCAGAAGAAAAAATAGACGGACTATAATAGACTGGCCGTTCTGTGTTTGCATAGAGACAAAAAGTGTTTTCTACAAATGGCATACATGCTCGCGCACACTCTCACACACAAACTACTTCGGACTCTGTTGCTTTGCATCTGGTGTATAGAAGTTATAATAATAAAAACAACTGTAATCACAAATATAATCACAAATTGTACTGCAAAATATGATCCATATGTTTTAAAACCCAGAGCTACCTACTTGAATGAATGGGAACAGCAGGCCCACTGCAAAGTTAGACAACCAGTTTACAGTGCCGGCGATCATGAAGGCAGCGGGGCGATAGGCCTGTTCAAACAGCTCCCCTGTCAGGATGAAGGGAATCCCACCTGAAAAAGAAATAAAAACAGTGATGATTTCTTTAAAGAAAGGAACATCCAGCTTTTCAAGGTGTCCCTGAGCATGTCCTCATTTTTTTTTTTTTTTTTTGTGGCACACACTACAACACAACACAGGAAGCGGGGGTGTCTCAGAGGTAAAGGCGTGTGTTAATATGATTAAAGTGGGCAGAGGTTGTACATAACACAGGACATGGTTGTCATGTGTCCCTGATGTAAATGGCTTACAGTCGGCTTATTGCTGTGCTGTCGTCCACATCCTGCACTGCTGGTGTTGGTAAGGCTGTACCTGTCTCCTCCATGTCCCTGTTTCAGTTGAAAATGCCCAGATGATTACTGTGTCTTGCAAAGAAGGATTTCTATTTCATGCTCCATGGATGAAGCTAAGATTATCGTTATGAAGAAGGAATTTGCTGAGCCAGCTGGACCTGGTCTGCCAGAGACACTTAGAAGAGCTCTTGTACTTCTTCTTGTGGCCTTCTTACTGACACGGATACAGGTTCTTAGAGGTTTGCTTTAAATGTCTGAAGCTTTTAGATACTAGACCACATCCTTTTTGGTCCTCTTGTAGGCCTACCAAAACCAGCTGGTATGATACCTCCCAGAGTGATTTAATCAAAATTAGCCATGTACTACGTTAGACCTTGGTGCAAGGATCTTGGTGGCAGATCTACAGGTCCTTCCTTTATCCCCAACTGCAGGTGCATGATTTAAAAAAATAGGCAAGCGACAAATTAACACGGTTGTGAATACAGAGGTGAAGCAGTTGAAGGCCAATAAAAAGTGCTTCAGAATGTAAAAATAATACAAATAATTAAAGCTGTGAGGCAGAAAGAATTTGTAAAGAAACACTTCAAAAATTATTAAATAAAATCCTTATAAAGAATGACTATTTAAGCTCTTTAAAGATTCAAAGGTCCATTGATTCTAATGTTGGCACTTCAGCTCCAACTTGGAAAGGTTCAGTAAGCAGCTCTAAATGAAACAGGTTAGCAGTCAAAACCTAAAACTAAAGTCAAGAATCAACATAAGCAAAAGTAGATGCATAAAACTGGTTGTTGATATAAAACATGTTCTTATTGTTGTTTTCTCCTTTTTTTTAGCCTGTTATGTTTAGCTGATAATTCTGTACTGAATTCTGTACTGACATCATCAGTTCAAAACACGCCGGTTTACAGTAACAGTAGTCGGTGCGCTGCAAATGAGTTTTCATATGGTGCTCAGATCAGAGCGGATGAAAGAAGGCACAGAAGTAACTCAAATATGCACATAATCAACTTGAAAGGAAACATGTAAGGTCTGATAATAAGAAGAATAATGGAGTGATCTTTGAAATACAAATATAAAAACAACAGATATCCTCTGACTCACTGTAATGAGTCAGTGTAATGTTGACATTTCTGGTTAGTGTTTTATAATAATATTTTACCTCATTATCGTTTGGATTATTAATTTCTATTAACCCCAAAGCTTCCAAAGACTTCTCAATGCAACGGTATTTACATTACCAGGAAATGAAAATAGCCAACTTCTTGTTTGGAAGAATAGATTTCTTAAAGAATCTTTTGTCAGCCATGAATAATGATGGATCCGAAATATGTTCTTGTGCTCAGCCCTTCATAAAATAAGCACAACAATGAGATTCATGTGTAAGCATCGTCAAGGCAGCTCTTAGAAAACATAAAAGCCTATTAAAACACAGATCTTTTTAATACTGTACTTTTGCCAAACTATTCCACCTGTTTAATATTTATGAAGAATTCAAACCTTAAACACCATAAAAATCCAATTCAGTTATAGCCAGCAAGCTCTACCTCCCTCCAAAAAAAAAGTTAAGGCCGAGTAAATAAGTCTCATATATAAAGGTATTTTTTCCAAAACAATTTCAGAAATCCAAGGAGTTTCCAGGTTTTGGCTGTGGGGTTATTGATGGCTCTGTCCGTTTCTAATATACTTTCAATACTGTAAGCGCAACACTGAAGGGAGTAAGCTGTGCTCACACGCTTCGAGGACAAAGGTCATTCTTTTGAGGATGGCAATGTTTACATTTCAGTCAAAAAGACAGATGGTTTGAAAGACGTCTGAAAGAAGCCATCACTGTGAAACAAGAGAGACCATCAATCACTGGAGGCTGACTCCAAACAGCAGCCACCCATGTTCATCAGGAAGAAAAACCCAGAGACGGTCGGGAAAAGTAAAGCGCTCTTCCATAATTATACCACGACTATTCACGAGATCGTTGAATCCTTTAAGGTCTGCTATTGAGGATTGAGATTTTGTACTTTTGTCTTTAGGTGATTTTACTAGAGCCAATAGGTTCAGGTTGTTTTTACGTATTGTGAGACTGTTTCCTCAAAATGATCAAAATTGAAAAAAAAACAAACAAAAAACAATTATTGAGAAACCAGTAGAAAGTTGAAGAAGAGACTCATCTAACAGCCAGATATGATGATGAGAAGACAAAAAAAATCACACATTGTAATGTCTCAACATTGATAACAAAACAGTATTATTATAATCCAAGTTTTATCTTTACAATACGTCTTATCTGACTCTTGAGAATAAACTGCAGCCTGCCAGACAGTGTGTAGATAGTCTTCAGTGTGGAGCTTATCGCCTGCAGGGAGCTGGCTACACTTGTTGTCACGTACCTCCCAGTTTTTCCCACAGAGTTCCTTATGTACACATTAATAACTGTAGACATTTACTGTTTTAAATGTTATACTGTACAGTACGTGGGATGAGGAACTTCCAGTTGTTATTTAAATAAGGACAGAATCGATAGCTGAGGCAGAATTGAGAGTGCTATTGTTTTTCAGCCTCCCTCCAGGCGGTCTGCTGTCACATAACTGATTTAAAAGAGATATTTAATTAGCTGCAAATAGGTAAGAGCTAAACAAAGGAGAGACCAGCTCTCTAAAAGTCCTTTTTGTTCCTTTGACACAGATGATTGAGATAACACTGAAAATGATCTTATAATCTGAATTAGCCTTTCTACAATCTCATCTAATCATTGAAGGCAATTCACTGACTTAGTGTTTTGTTTTTGCTTAAGATATACTGTTAGAGACGTCTGATAATATCGGCCAACCAATATTATGCCCCGATATTAGCATATTATGTAATATCTGTTAGAATCGTTATTGTTTTTTTTTTATCGACATCTGAGGTCTTTTAATAAGGAGTATATAATAGAGTGATCTTTGAACTACAACTATATAAAACAACTAGAGTTATTTCGATGTGTAGTATCGACATTTCAGGGTTATGTTTTGTAATACTGTTTCAGCCAGAAAAAACTTTTTGGGGTTGACCTTCCCGGTCAATAATTTTTATTAGACCGAAAACCTTAATCTCAAAGTTGTCACAGTTTCTGATATTGGATGGACTTTCATCAAGAAGATCTACAACAGAGGTCACCAACTATATCTGTCTGAGGACCATCATTTTTCCTGACAAACACCTCGGGGGCCGGAGACTTAATTAAAATGAAATAAATATCACATTTTGGTCTAACAAAATTATTTGATGTTTATTTTGGAATCCAGTTGTGGGCAGGATGGACAGACACAAAGACTGAGACAGTTATATAATTGCAGAAATTCAACGTTTTAAATGTTTAAATTGCCAAGAAAATAATCAACCTTCTGTTGGGATAACCAGGTCAATAGATATATGTATTTATATTTAATATTTATGAACAATTCAAAGATGACCTATTCCTGGGAAATAAAATGAAACACACACACGGAGACACACAATCGATCATTGTTGAACGGCTAGCATCAATCATGTGCCACTGACAGAACTCATCAACTCAAACGTTAAAGTCAAACTGACGGTCAGTGATAGAAGGTGTCAAAGCTCTGATTCCCGGCGGGATTCTAGCTCACTTGGTAGATTAAATGTCAATATGCTGCTAACATTTGTGAGATGTTCTTCTTCTTCCCTGGAACGCCACATGTGCAGCCCATATACAGGAAATTTGACACTCATCATTTTTGTTGTCTGGTCATCAGGTCTAAGCGTTTTGTATTGATGAAGTTAGACCCCTCCCACAGCTGGTCACCTGACTATATGAGGATTCATTAACACACACAAATAGAGTGTGTCCTTGATCAATCTTCTGCTACTGCCATTAATTATGTCTAAATCTTTTGTCTGACAGGCAGGTGGTGTTACTGAGTACAGTCTATTTATTTCTCGTTTTAAATCATCTCTACTTGGGCAGTGTAACTTCCACTGTGGGGATATAAAGTGTCGATCACAGCGATATACTTTTTACTTTTCTCATGTGTTTAAAATCTAAATTTTAAATCTGCTATGAATTTTTCAGGAGACTTTTCAACTCTTTTAACACGTTCTAATTTTTTGGGCAGTTTTTTTATTACTTCCGGTGCTGTCTGCAGTGCAAGCCATTAAAATGCAAATGAGACATCTCTCCATGTGGTCAGCCCAGGGGTTTCATACTGAAATTGCATCATTCAGTTTTCATCATCATATTTTTCAAACCAGTGTTTAAAACTTGAACTTGTGACTAAATTGACTGGACTGTTTTTTCAGGTTTCTAATTTCAGCTGCTTTGATGCGTTGTCCTGACTGCAGCATCTAAACAACCTGTGGCTACAACAGTGGGCTCTTTTTAAAAAATGAGAAAACTGAATCAGCTCAGTCTAAAAAGCATTTTCAAGGTTGCGATGAGCTGCGTCACAGTGAAAGCCATTCAGTCACACAGTATATAGTTTGCGAGTCGGATAATTCAAGCATCTCCTACACTACATGTTTGTAACCATAGTTAGCCTTACAGCCTTACAATATTTTTATTTATTTAAGGCATGTTTGATAAATTAAAACCCAAATTCGTTAGCCTCCACAGCTCTGCAGAATTCCCTTCTTCTTCTTGGTAACTGGGACCAGTCTCATTCCTGAAGAAACCGGTTCCTTTATGTTCATTTTAAAGACAAGTCTTACTGTATTTGTACCTTTCCAAT